AAACTTCCAGTCCAGCGTGCTTTGCACAAGGGCAGGCTCTGCCCCAGCAAAGAGGCAATGGGTCATGCAGGGCGAGTCATTGGCATCGAAATAGGTCTTGGATCTCTTCACAGTGGCTGCAAAGTCACGTCATGTTCAGTGATGTAAAGTTGTATGCCTCTTAAAAGCATAAAGCTCTTCAATAAGTCTTCATATGCTGTTCATTCAGTCAGTGCCTACTGACAGTCCTTCGTGTCCTGGGGCACCAGGACATGCAGGACAGAACATGTGGGAGACACTGATAGTGACCTGGAAGTGTGCATATGTTGCATGTGTGTGGTGTGCCATGGGATGACCGAACCCTGGGGAAAGAGGAAGGGCAGGCCGGGCATCTGTGTCCCCTCGGAAGGGCTGGCAGGAACCAAACCGGTGCAAAGGAAGTGGTGGAGCTGCATTCAGGAAAAGGAGCAGCACACATGAAGGTGAAGAAAGCAAAACCAGCACATCTGAGGCGCTGCGAGCACTCGGGTCTGACTAGAGCACAGACGGAAGGAGAGTGAGGAACAGCAGGCTAGCCGACCGCGCCCCGTGGTCCTGGAGTGACTCCAAAGCAGACCTCAGCGGGGAGTCAGCATGGGCTGTTCCTCTCCAGGGTGCCAGCCGCATGCAGGGGGCCTCCATCCTCCATCCGCTGCCTCCTTCCGCCTTACTGCTCCATGGCAAAGTCTTAACCACACCAGATGCCCCCCGTGAGATTCAAGGACAGTGTCGAAAGTCTGGGGCCAGGTGGAAAAGTTGCTGCTTGGTCACCCCTTCCACGTCTCACTCTCACCTTACCTAGTGAGTCATCAGTCTGGAAAGGACTGAGCCCAAGCAGTCACTAGGTCTCCTGATAAGATGGCACAGGCTCAGCGGAAGGCTCTGTCTCCTCAGTCCCAAAGCAGCTCGCATATCTGAGGCTCTTCCCATGGGTTTGTTGAATGGGTCCTGGCCTATGCATGTACTAAGAGGACTCTTCCTCCGGGGATTTTTCCACTTGAGCTTCAGCGGGCACTGCGAAAAGAAAGAGAAGGGTCTGTTCCACGTGCAGCCCGCACTGCGGCTTCCTTCACCACCTGCTTCTAGACTTTGCCACCCTTGATTCTCACCTGGTCATTTCAGATCTTTCTAAAGCACCTGCTCTGTGCTAGGTGCTGATGGGCTTGGGGAGGGGAGAGCCCTAGGAGTCCAATAGCAGGAAGGTAACAGCACAGTAAACTGTCCACTCCAAGGGCTGGGAGAGCTGAGTGATAGACACAACACAGTCCTGCTGTGAACCATGAAGATAGTCACACGGGTAATGCGTGGCTTCCGGTCAGGTCAGGCCTGCTGTCAATGAGTTCCAAAGTGCTTTGGTGGGTTGCACAGCGTGGAAGTTTAAAGATGCAGATGAGGGGTTACAGAGCTGTGTACAGAAATAGAGGTCCAGAGAGGAAAGCCATGTGTCCAAGGCCATGCTGAGGACAGGAGAGCAGGTCAGGACACCGACACGTCGATGCCTAGGTCCATGATCTGTCTGACCACTTGCCTGCTGTGCTGGACAGGAAGCAGGTCGTCCAGGGTCTTTAGAAAGAAGCGCAGTAGTTTTTTCTGGAACAGCAATGCCTCCATCTACTGGACATTGGCAAGAATGACTTCCGGCCCTGGGAGGAACTACAGAAAGAATACTTTGTTTCCTGAAACTGCAAATGGTATTTCACAGGTCAGAAATCAGCTACTAAGTTGCTTTTGCATAATCCATGTTTCAAAACATTAATGACCACAACAGAAACAATGTTAACAACGGAAGTTACTTCCAGCCACTCAGCCAGCAAGTGCTGCCTCAGCAGCAGTCCCTCCACCACCTCCCTCCACAGCGTCCCTTCTGAAGCACACACTCGCTTGCTTCAAACCTCCCAGAAGTCTGGCGACAGAAGTTTCCCCATGGCCCCCCTGCTGCTCCCCTGGTTTGTCATGCTGCCTGTTTCACCTGTGCCGGGCACGCACTGTACTCGTGTATCCCGATACACCATCCGAACTGCCTCCTGCACTGTTTTGTTCACGGTTCTTTGCCACACTCTTACCTTCTGCACCTTGTACCGTACCCGGCATAAAGCTGGAGTCTACACATTCTTGACAAATAAAAATCAGAATTGCTGAGCGAGGTCATGCACACTGGTAATCCCAGCATTCAGGAGGCTGAGGCAGGAGGCTCGCCATGAGTTTGAGGCCAGCCACAATTACACAGTGAGTTCAGGGTCACTTTAAACTGCATAGTAAGACCCTGTCTCAATAAAATAAAATAAAATAAAATTTAGAATGAATTTATTTTATTAGCAGAAGACAATAAAAAGTCATTCATTAAATACAAATATAGTAATTGTTTTCAAGCTTCTAGATAATCTTGAGGTATCTGTAAGATGCAAATGTTTAAAAAATTATTACAGTAAAAGACACATTGCCATGAATCTTCCTCAAATACTTCTCACCATGAACATACTTATCCTATCATTCATGACTGTCTGAGCAGTTCAGAAGGTTCTTCTTCCTTTATTAAGAAATGTATAATTCCAGCACTTGAGAGGCTGAGGCAGGAGAATTGTTGCAAGTTTGAGACCAGTCTGAACTGTATAACAGTGGAGAGAGACAGAGATAGAGATGGAGAGAGAGGGAGAGGGAGAGGGAGAGAGAGAGAGAGAGAGAGAGAGAGAGAGAGAGAGAGAGAGAGAGAGAGAGAATGAATGCTGAAGCCAAGTGCCACCCAGTGGAAGGTCAGGCCTGTAGAAACATTATGGTGAGTTCTCCACCTTACTCACTGGAATGGCCACCACAAGACTCCGGGCTTTTCTACAAAGTCAAAATGACCATGAAAGAGAAATATTTTGATCCAAGTTAGAACATCCAGGCAGCCACAACAGCACAACTAAAGACATGAAGGACGACTTCAGAACTGCTTCAGAAAGCAGCAGGAAGCCCGGGCTAAGTGTGTTAGAAGGGAGGGGAGGGTTTGTGACACATGGATGGCAACGTGCCTTTTACTGAAACACTTTCCAATCACACGTGGTACCTTAAGGATCCTGTTTTGAATATGCCTTTTAGTAGAAGGCAGAATGGAAAGAGTCAGAGATGCTCATTCCTGCAAAGAAGGGAGATCTTCAAGGAAAGTGATCCTCACAGTCTATGGGAAAATATGCTCTTACATGACACAGGTCTGCACTGGAATATCCCACATCATCTTTTATTTTCTCAGACAGTGTCTTGACTCTCTCAAAATAAACTCAAAATAACTAGCCAACCAAACAAGAAAGTGGACCTGGGATATGCCACCTTGGAATGCTGCATAGATTCCAAAATAAACAGATACAATTATTTCTTCAGGCATGGGTTTTGTTTCCGCAATGGCTTTATTTAGAGATAACTCACATACCATAAATTCACCCATTTATAATTTGTAGTTCAGTGGTTTTCCAGTACATCCACAAAGCTCTGCAGCCATGCCTACAATTTAAAAACATATTTATCACCCTCAAAAGAAACCGGGCCTGTTAGCTGTCAATTCCCAACCCTATTCCACTCCACCCTCTGCTCTGGCAACCACGGGTCTCCTTTCCAACTTTACAGATTTGCTCTTTATGAATGTTTCCTAGAGAAGTAATCATGTATGTGGGCTTCTATGACTTCCTTCACTTAGTAAAATTAGTTCAGAGTTCATCTATGACATCTAATTAAATACTTTCACTGATGGAATAAACTTTGTTGGTTATGATTGTTTGCACACTAACACGAGTTTGAAATGATAGAATCTCTGAGTTTCAGAGTATAAATGCATTTCAATTACTCTCAAGTTGAGAAATAAAAATCAAGCTAGAACAGAAAAATACCACGTATGTCAGTCTTGCCTACCAACTAGATAGATATGTAATCGGTGTGTTAACTCGACCACCTAAAAATAGGTCCATTATGCATGCAGTGTAATTTTGCAAATGAAAAAGATATCTAAACCAGGCATGCAAGCACATGCCTGTAATCCCAGCACTCTGGGAAGCTGAGGCAGGAGGATTGCACCAAGTTGAAACCTAGCCTGAACAATTTAGCAAGATCCTGTCTCAAAATTTTAGAATTTTTTTAAAAGCTGGGGTTATATCTCAGTGTGATAACCTAGGGTTCAGTCTCCAGTACTAAAAGAAACCAAACGGGCTGGGGATACAGCTCAGTGGTTCAGCCTGGCAAGCGTGAGGTCCTGAATTTGACTTGCAGTACACACACACACACACACACACACACAGAGTGAAAAAATCTAAAGCAGAAAGGTAAGTACTTCATGATCTCACTTCAAAGGGGAATATTTTTAAAAAGAACCTCACAGAAGTGAGACTGGAGGTGTCACCAGTGTGGGGCAGAGCTGAGAGGAAAGAGGTGGAGAGGCTGACCAGGGTGAGTGAGTTGCAGTTAGAAGCAAGAAAGCCCGCTTGCACTTGGGGGGACCCGGGTCACCAGAGTGGATTTTTCAATGTCTTTTTTTTTTTTAAACTAGGAATTCAACTCATGACGTCGCGCTTCCAAGACAGGCGCTTGTGCCGCTGAGCTATATCCCCGGTCCTGCACATTTTTATCATAAATGACAAATATGAGATAGATCTGTCTAACCCTAGGTAAGCATTACACAAAGCATATAGACATTGAAATGTCGCATGACACCACACTAATTTGCAGTTTCTATGTTTTTATGTATCAGTTAAAAAGTGAGTTTAACAGCAAAATTTAAAGAACTCTCTGCCGCAACATTTGGTTTTACAATCTCGCTTCCTCTGTTTGCTTACAGCCCTGCTTCTTCGGATACACACAAACCCGGGCAGCACGAGGCACACTGCCGGGACGCAGGACACCCAGAGCCTCCCCATCTGCGCGGCATTCGCCGGCCACGCGTGACTCAGGCTCGGCTCCCGCCCGGCCTTCCGCCTTCCTGTCCCAGCCGGGAAGCAGAGCAGCGGCGAGGTGCACGCGGGCCGCAGGACGGGGCTGGTTTGGGTGGGCGGCCAGTGCCCACCGCCGCGGGCCGGGCCTTGGCACCGCAGCGCCAGGCGCTCCGCGGGCGCGGGCGGGCGGGCCGGCCGGGCGCTTTCCTGGGACCCGGGGCTCGGGGAGGACCGTGCCCAAAGCGTGGCCACGCGGGCTGGGCCGGCAGACGGCGCGCGCTTTCAGAAGTCGGACGGCTGCAGCAGGGGGCGCCAGCGCCCCGACGCCGGGCCTAGCCCCGCCCACGCCGCCCCGGGGCCCCGCCCCTTCCTTCCTTCCTGCCGCGGCCCTTCTCCGGCCCCGCCCCCCTGCGCAGAGTCGGCGCTCGCGGCCACTCGGGGTCCCCGCGGAGGAGGTAGGAGCCAAGACTGCGGGCCGCGGGGGCGGCAAGCACTGGTGTGCGTGGTGGCGCGTGGGTGTGCATGGTGGTCAGTGGAGGCGTGGTGACACGTGGGGGCGTGGATGTGCGTGGAGTGCATGGGGGCGTGGTGACACGTGGAGTGTGTGCGGTGACGCGTGGGTGTAAGTGTAGTGGCACATAGGGTCGTGGTGGCGCACGGATGAAGCAGAATCCAGATTATGGGCCAGCATCTCTTCTCCCCTCCTAATTTAATTCTTGGGTCTCTAGACCCACACCTTTGGTTTGGTGTGGGAAGTATTCCGGCAGAATTCTGGGAATACGGGATATTGTGAGTGCCCCGATTTCTCTGTTTTTTACCTTTTTCTGAGTCCCTGATACCTTAGGGAGCGTTTCATGGACTCCTCCAGCTCTGGTGGTACTGAGAGAAGCACTACGTGGAAGGGTGAGGAAAGGCAGTTTCTCTGGGATGAACGAGGCCACGTCCCTGCACCTGGGCCATGTGTGCTTCTGGCCATGAGGGCTGTGGCGGGCCATGAGCTGTCCCTCCGGGTGTGAGGAGGGGGCTCCGCCCTCCCAGCGCCGGTGTCTGAGATGGGCAAAGGCTGAAGCAGATCTGTCTACCCCGAAGCCTGCATGTGACCCCAGGCTACCTTGGGCACAAGCTCCTATAGTCCCCGCTGGAAGGCTAGCGCTGGCCACGCGCGCTGACATCGTATAGCTCAGAGAGTGCAGCTGCCGCCAGCACAGGGCGTCCTGAGGGGTTTATGGAGCACTCATAAATGAAATATTTTAGATGTCGTTTCCAGAGTTCCTGTGGTTTTTTCTTTCTGTACTCTGCAGGTGACTTTTTACCTGCATCTTGCACTGTTCTCTAACAGGCTAGTTAGGGAGGGAATTGAACAAAATAGTCATTATCTACCAGCTGGTGATACTGCGGCCGGCCACGCTCACTCCGGTTGAGCACTCGCCATGCGCCAGGTGTTGATGTTGACCTTGTCGACGTAAATGAAGAAACCGAAGCTGGAGATACAACTCAGAATGGCAGAGGATGGATCCTGACCGAGGCAACCTGAATCAGGAGGCTGCGCAGAAACTGGGGAGGCTGAGGTTTGAACCAGGGCTTCAGCACTGTCTGGCTGGATAACTTGGGACAGTTAATTGCTCTCTGTTTGGGTTTTCTCATCTCTAAAATGGGCTCATAACAATGCTGCCTCACAAAGCTGTGGCGGGGGAGGTAAACTGGTTTTCCAAGGTGGTTTTACTGAAGGAGGTGGACAAGGCTCTTCCCGTTCACCATCGTGTCCAGTGGAACAACACCATCGTGTCCCCTCTCCACTGTGGAGCGTCAGAGTCCTTCAGGAAGAGCTGGAAGGGCTTCGTAAGGACTTGTGCTTTCACTGAGGGTCACCCGTGTTCACTTGCCAGCTGGTTTAAGACTGGAGTTCACAATTGGCTCCACAAGGGCAGGATTCACATGTTCTATACATTCGTTCCTCCTGGAAGGTATTTCTCAAGTAGGACATCATCACTCGTTGGAAGGAGTCTGGGGTCCCTTGGTGGGGAGCTCGGTGTGGAGCTGTGTGTGCAAAGCAGCACCACCCTTACCTGACCTGCAGGTGGAAGCTTCCAGTTGAAAGTTTTAAAAACACTGTGCAGATCTGACCTGGAACAGTGGAGCGGAGTTGCTCGGCAGAGGGCTCTGTAGCTTCCCCTTGGAGATTCTCACCCTCTCATTGGCCCCCATCACTTCCTGCCCTTGAGGCCCACTGAGGCAGCCAGGCACAGAGCACTCAGGGTACCTGTGCTGGGTGACACCCGGGGAGCCTGTGTTCCAGCCTGGCCTCTCTCTGAGTCCCTGCAGAAAGTGTGTTTTTCATCTGAGTTGCCAACTATGTGGTCAATAATCTGAGTACCTAATTACTGATCTTTCCTTCGTGATAACTGTTTCCTGTCAAGATTAGCTCATATAATCCTCACAGGAGCCCCAGCAGACACACTACCTACCCCATACAGAGGACTCTAAAGAGAGGGACCTATGCGACTCACACAGGAGCAGCATTTGGTTGGTGGTGATGGTGAGCCCCGAGCCCCAGGCCACTTCTGAACCAGGCTACCCTGCGTACAGAGGTCAGAGTTCACAAGGATGTTGTTACGGTGAACATTCTTTTGTGTTTTGCCAAAGAGTGCCTCTGAGAATAGGTGGGAGGAACAGGGTCACAGGGCCAGGACGGAATGTTCTGTGGAAGGAGGAGCCAGCCTATGAGTAGGTGGAGTGAGGGCCTTTGCTTATCAGTTCTGGGGACTGACCTGAGAGGTGTTCTACCACCAAGTCACATCCCAGCCTCCTTCCTTCCTTTTTTTTTCTTTTGGAAACTGGCTTTCACCATGTTCCCCAGGCTGGGCTCAAATTTACGATCCTCCTGCCTACGCCTCCCTGGTATCTTGAATTACTGGTGTGTGCCTGGCTCAAAGGGCTTTTTTTGGTCTTTCTGAGACAAGGTCTCTGCTGGTTAGTTCAGGCTGGCCTTGAGCTCACTTTGTAGCCCAGGCTAGGCTCAAACTCACAGTAATCCTCCTGCCTCAGCCTCCCAAGTGCTGGGATTACAGGAGTGTGCCACCACGCCCAGCTTTGAAGGACTTTTAGTTGAGTTGAATTCTGATAAACTTCATTCATTTACAAGAAGATGGTGAGGTTGTTTTGGTTTTGCTTTATGGGCTGGGATGAAACCAGGGCCTTGCACATATCCTGCAAGTGTGCTGCCTCTGAGCTACAGCCCAGCCCAGGATGGTAGAGTTAAGTGAGGCAGACCTGGGCCCTGCAGCCTGACTGTGCACACATCAGCCAGGTCACCTTAGGGACATCATCTGACAAAAATACTGCTCTTGTTGTTTTTGGTGAGTAAATGCAATTGGCTGGAACACTCGTATTTCCTGGAGGATGACTGTAGGATTTCAAGCTGACATAAAATTTAAGAGCTAAATATAGCTTATTTAAAATAAAAACATCGATGAGATCATGACTTACAGAAAAACCTTGCAGATTTCTCAGAGAACAGCTTTGTGAGCACTGTCTAAATTTGGATTAAATTTTTAATGATCTTGAAGTGCATGTGTATCAGTTTTTACTGAAAAGACATATAGGTGAGGAAGAAATCCATGGCTGACATTTATGGCATCCTTGCTGTGAGCCAAGTGCCCCCCGTTTGATCCCCGTGCCTGCCCACCAGGTGACTGTGTCTAGCTTCCTCTGTGCGCCCATGAGATGGCAAGGCTTAGAAGGAAGTAATAGTATACAGGGCTCAGCTGCTAAGTCCTGGGGTCGGGATTTGAACTCAGGACTTCCTAGAGTTCTGGGTGCTTTGATCTGACTGTAGTTCCAGTAAAGCGAATCCTTCCTGATTTAAACCATGTCTGTATATTTGAAAACTACAGACTATAATGTTTAATGGAGGGGGCAGTAACTCTGAGAACTAGATTTGCTGGAAGCCCTCTTAGACATTTTAGACAGCAGGAGCCAGCAGTGCTGGGGCACCTGATAGGCCTGGTGCACTTACATCTAAGCAAGAAAACTGCCAGGCAGTGCTGGCTGTAGGTAAGAGTGGGAGGCAGAGTGTCCGCTGCTCTGTGCTCTCCTGAGGCCTCTGGTCCCAGGAGTTCTTCCTTCTTCATGGGAATCTCTCAAACTCCCTGAGAGCTGCAGCCCCTCCTTATCTGTGAGGGATCTATTCCAAGGCCCTCAGGGAGTACCTGAAACCTTGGAGTTTCTTTGTCTTTCTTCACAGTTTGATAAACAGAAATTTGGGGCTGGAAATTTAGCTCAGTGGCATAAGCACCTGCCTTAGAAGCAGGCGAAGTCGTGAGTTTGATCCCCAGTACCATGTCACAGCTCTTAGCAACTTCACCAAACACACATAGTTTTCTTATTGAGTCAAGGACTTACATCTTTTTACAGAAAGAAAGATGTTATATCCTTTCTTTGGCGTAGCATACTTTCCAGCATGATTACTCTTGTGATTTGGGGTCTTTATTAAGTAAAATAAAGGGGACTTGAATACAAGCGCTGTGACACATAACAGTTCATCTGGTAACCAAGCCGGATGAACTCCACGATGAGTGAGCAGGGGGCAGCCAGGTACTATGTGGGCACGCCGAGCAAAGGGACGATTTGGGATGGGTACTGTGCCCTGGGATCCCTTCCTGCTGTTCAGAAGTGTGTGCAGTTCAAAACTAATGGTTTATTTCTGAAATTTTCTATTGACTACATTTAGACCATGGCTGGCTGTAGATAACTAAACCATGAAAAGCAAAATCTTGGATGGGTGAGACTACTATAATATGCTAATTTCTACACTAAATTTTGCTCTGATGGGAGATTTACAGGCTGTACTGTAACAGTGAGGGGAGCATCTGGAGCGGGGAGATGCTCCGGGCCCCCTCTGGCCACCCTCCACAGTTGTTACCTGCTTCCGTCAGAGGGTGGGAGAGGCCAGATAGCAAACTTCTGCTGCTTACCTGGATTTTCCAGACATGGACAGCACTGCCTCAGCGGGGACAGCGCTCAGCCGCACTGTGAAAAGGGCCGTGCTATTCTTGGGTGTCCAGAGCCCTGTCTTTTTGTCTGCCTTCACAGCCTCTGCCATCCTTCCTGATCTCCAGAAGGTCTGGAGGCCTGTAATTCACTGGGCAGCCTTCAAGTACAGGCCACCACGTGAGGCTGAGTGCATACGCATAGTCAAGTAGCTTTTATGCAAACAGCGACGGTGTAATTTAGCAATCAGCTAGCAACTAGGGGAGAGTTTTTAAGATTCTGGAATGTGGGCCTTACTTAGGCTTCCCACTCCCTTCTAAATCATATGCTTTGAGCCAGTGCTTATTTGGGGCCCATCAGTAATTATGGGGCCCCTGGCTCAGTGAGTAGGAGTGTGGCAGGAGGAAAGGAAGAGAAGCTGTTGTTTACCCCAGGCCACCAAGACACCTGGGGACAGGGACAAGGG